GCTCTAGCAGCCTAAAAAGTGTTAGCTGGAGTTTGTATTTAAATCTGCTAGTACATCTAAACACTCCCATCCCCACAGACTGACAATGCTGCTGTCCGAAGGGACCCCCTGTGCTCTTTCATCCAGAGTGGGGGGGCGCTCTAATACAGGTGGTGTGTAACTAAAGCAGCCAGCACATCTAATGATTAGTAAACTGCACTATATTACATTTTTGGGTTATTACCGCTTTAAATGGGCCATACATTGGAATACTCAACTAAATCCCAATTTACATTTGGACTTTACAGGTACCACTAGGGGAAAAATGTATTTATAAAAAATCCCTTTTTATTATTCAATGTATAAAATATCGAAACAAAACATTAAAAGGTTCCAGGCTAATATATCATCATTGCCTTTACATGTTCAAATTCATCTCATATGATATGCCTAGCCCCCTTTGCCAACAATGTACTCATTTTGTATTTCCTTATCAACGCCATAGAGTCAATCTGTCTACAACATAATTGTAGACAATGGTAGACTGGCATTGTGATGGGAGTCACTTTGGGTGGGGGGCCCATGGAACACAGCTCACTTTGGAGAGGTGGGGAGACCCCTGTCTCAGCTCCCCAAATCCCTCTTATGTGTAAATCACCCTGTGCCTGTTAGGGGTACAGGGTGATCTGTCCTAATACTGTGTGGGCTTTGTCTTGGACTGTGTAGACATGTTTAGGAGATAGGTGGGGTGGGGGTTGTTGATTGTTTAATGTTATGTGGCTGCATCCCATTGTTCTATTATTTGTCTGGCTTGGGAGCAAACTATTATGGGATGTATGTGTTTATGTGTATTAGCTTAGTGGGGGGTGTCTCCAGCAACCCTCCCTCCTGATGGGACTATCTGCTGCGAAGTTTGAATACCTGTGTGTCTCTTGTTACTAAATGTAGATTGCCCCGCCCTGCGTCATTATGCAGGGAGAGGGGATTGTCCCCTGAATGTATATATCTTGTATCTGTGTTCAAATAAAGAGTACCATGTTCAGACAGACTGGTGTTGTCTAGTCTTGTATGGTCGGCTGTGGTGTCTGTTGTCGGTGTTCAGACAGGGAAGCGGTATTCTAACGAACGTACTCAAGCGCTGTCTGGGTCGGTTCCATTACAGGCATCTCCTTTCCAACATGTTTAGAAAATGTAATTCACTTTCATAGGGTGGAACGATTAAGTCTTTAACAATTTCGTAGTGCCGTGTACAGTATATACCATAACCAAAGCCACCCTAAAAGCCTGACCTTCCCGGGCAGACAGAGGGCCAACCACAGATGTCAGCTAAAGATTCCCCACTGAAGAGGCATGTACCCTTAGTGGCTACACATATATACTGTATGTTATGTTTTTACTTTGGCAACTGCAAGGTTTCAACCAGGAGTCTGCAAACTGCGACCCGAGGGCCAGATGCAGCCCTTTGCTTGCCTTTATCTGGCCTTGGGGCACTATTCCATCCACTGACATCAACAATGGGGCACAATTCCTCCACAGCCCAGCCCCCCTAAATTCTGAAGGACAGTAAGGGCTGGCCCTTTGTCTACAAAGTTTGGAGACTCCTGGTTTAGGCCAGTGTTTCTCAACCTTTTTTCAGTCAAGGCATCCTTTAAAATGATGGACAGTCTTGAGGCACCCCATTCTAAAATATGAAAAATGATTCTAATAGTTTTATATAACGCAGCAACATCCACATGTGTAGGTGATTTATTCTTCCAAATCAAATACACGTTTGCACACCGATACTGACTAGTATTCCCATGTTTCTCTTCTCCCTCAATTTTTCTCCATCACTGAACTGATGTGACCCCAGCACTGATGGAGAGGGGCAGGGGAGGATCAAACTAGGATGCTGTGCAGGCAGCTGACATCCTCCTTATCAACTGATGATGTCATGGATTGTCAGGACGCCGGCGGCTAGAAGGTCATAATGGTGCACAATGAAACCTGTGGCTTTGTGTAACTAACAGACAGGCTTGTTCTACCTGCTGGCTTGTATACAAGGTTTGGACAATTTTTAGACATTTTGCCAAGGCACCCCTGAAGGATCCTCAAGGCACCCCAGGGTGCCTGGGCACCCTGGTTGAGAAAGGATGGTTTAGGTCAATATAGCCCTATGGGTCCACTCAACGGGGACACAGAGCACTAGCTTCTAAGGGTGATAGGACCATTCACCTCTAAAGCACATCCCAATATAGCCCATGGTAGAAAACAAAAATGTTTTTCAGCTCTCGTGTTTCTTTTAGGAAAGTTTTCCTTCCAAAACCTGCCTTCTGTGAATACTTTGTATTTTTTTCTAAGTAGTGATGGCACAACGGTTGTATCGTACAGTGCTGTGAAAAGGTATTTGCCTCCCCTTCCTGATTTTTTTTTTGCATTTTTGTCACACTTAAATTTGACTCAGACAAATTTAACATTACACAAAGATAACAAAGTAAAAACAAAATGCAGTTTTCAATTGATGATTTCATTTATTAAGAGGGAAAAAAAGCTGTACAAACCTACCTGGCCCTATGTGAAAAAGTAATTGCCCCTGAATCCCCTGCTGCATAACCCAAGTATGCTTGAGCTTGAGGTCACAAACTGATGGCCTTCACGATTTTCTGGTAGAGTGTAAAATTCTTGGTTCCATTAATTATGGCAAGTCGTCCAGGTCCTGATGCTGCAAAGCACCCCCAGACCATCACACTACCACCACCATGTTTGACTGTTGGTATGATGTTCTTCTTATGAAATGCTGTGTAATGGGTACACACACCTTCCAAAACGTTCAACTTTTGTCTCATAAATCCACAGAATATTTGCCTAAAACTCTTAGACTCTTGGGGATAATCAAGATTTTTTTGGCAAATGAGAAACGAGCCTTTGTGTTCTTTTTGGTCAGCAGTGGCTTTCACCTTGGAACTCTCCCATGGATGCCATTTTTGCCCAGTCTCTTTCTTATTTTTGAATCATGGACCTTAACTGAGACAAATGAGCCCTGCAGATCTTTAGATGTTGTTCTGGGTTCTTTTATGACCTCCTGGATGAGTCATTGTTGTGTTCTTGGGAGTACTTTTGTAGGCCAGCCACTCCTGGGAAGGCTCTATTTGTGGATAATGGCTCTCACCATGGTTCGCTGGAGTCCCACAGAAATGACTTTGTAACCCTTTCCAGACTGATATATGTAATTTACTTTGTTTCTGTTCTTGAATTTCTTAAAATTGTGGCATGATGTGTTGCTTTTTGAGATATTTTAGCGTGCTTCACTTTGTCAGACAGCTTATATTTAAGTGATTTCTTGACTCAACAGGTCTGGCAGTTATCAGACTTGGGTATGGCAAGCGAAATTTAACTCAGCTTTTCAAAAAATGTGGTTAATCGCAGTTCATTCATGAGTTAGCTAAGGGAGGTAATTACTTATTTTCACATAGGGCCAGGCCAGTTTGGACAGCTTTTGTCCCTTAATAAATTGAATCATCAATTAAAAACTGCTTTTTTATTTACTCAGGTTATCTTTGTGTAATGTTAAAATCTGTTCGAAAATTTGATCTGAATCATTTAAGTGTGACACATTTGAAAAAAAAAAAAAAAAAAATCAGGAAGAGGGCATATACTTTTTTCACAGAACTTATCTTATCCCTCTACAAGTTACGGTATATGAACACAGACTCTCTGCAGTCTCTAAGTATATGAAATGGCAATCATGCTCCTGGTAGTCAGAGACCATGTGACCTTTGCTTAAATTTAAGCTCAGCTGATTTTTTTTTATCCAGCACAAGAAAATGGTATTTGTTTGTGTCATAATGCAGACAAGGGAAGTGTTGACTACATGACAGGTCCACTTAAACTCTGGCAACACACTTACACCATTATCACATGAGGGGTGACTATGACTTCATAGGTGCAGTCACATTGCTATGAGGAAATCGCTGGGTCACCTGCATCTAATCACAAACATCCCCATTGGCATTTGAGAATTGAGCCTTCGGCTGCTTTCTCTTTGGATCGAATTGAAAGAAAGCTCAACATTAGAAAAAAATTGTAAGAGGTTAAAATACTTACTATGGGGGTCCCAAAGGGAATATAACCTAAAAACAATAAATGATCAAAAAAGAGATAATCAGTGACATGTTACAGAGTTACATAGTTATTCTGGCTGAAAAAAGATAAAAGTCCATCCAGTTCAACCATTAAAAAAAAAAAGTTATAATCCTATACCCACAGTTGATCCAGAGGAAGGCAAAAATCCCAGCAAAGCATGATCCAATTTGCTCCTGCAGGGAAAAATTCCTTCCTGATCCCCTGAGAGGCAATCGGAAATTCTCTGGATCAACTTTACCTATAAATGTTATATCCAGTTATATTCTGTGTATCCAAGAAAGAATCCAGGACTTTCCTACAGCAATCCACTGAGCTGGACAGAACCAACTCTTGAGGGAGTCTATGTAGACATGTAGATAAGAAATGATATCACTGTTTGGGTCTTTTCAGTTTTAAGGGGTACTGCATTGTGCCATAGCAGGAGTAATAATGGAGGGGTGGATGTGACTTTATATGAAATCACCTTCTACAATTGCTCCGTAGTCCAGTTCTGATGCTCGCCTGCCTATTGTAGGCATTTTTGCTGTGGACACGGGTCAGCATGGGCACCCTGACCGATCTGCGGCTACACAGCCCCATATACAACAAACTGTGATGACCATTTTTTTTCTGCTTTCAACACATCAACTTCAGGGATAACATGTTTACTTTATGCCTAATCTACCCCACCAACTTCCATATGCCATTGTAACAAGATAATCAATATTATTCATGTTACCTGTCAGAGGTCAAAGTTTTGGCGGATTGGTGTATATAATAATACTGTATATAATAACCTCTTCAGTCTCCTCTCACATCGCTAACCTACTAAGTGACATATCGGCATGGGTGTCACTCCACTTCCTCAAACTCAATCTTTCCAAAACTGAGCTCTTAGTATTCCCCCCAGCCCGTGCCCCCTCCCATGACTCCTCCATCAAGTTCAATAATACAATCATCAGACCCTCCCCTCATGCCAGGGTACTAGGTGTACTCCTAGACTCCCATCTGTCCTTTCAGTCCCAGATCCAATCCCTGTCCAAATCTTGTAGACTTCACCTCCGCAACATCTCCAAGATACGACCGTTCCTAACCTCGGAAACCACTAAGCAACTTATTCCCTCCCTGGTTATCTCTCGCCTTGACTATTGTAACTCCCTCCTCATTGGCCGACCTCATCGCAGGCTATCCTCTCTTCAGTCTATCATGAATGCTGCTGCCAGACTCATCCACCTTACTAACCATTCTGTATCTGCCATCCCTCTCTGCCAATCCCTCCACTGGCCTCCACTCAGTGTCCTCCACCCCTCTCTGCCAATCCCTTCAATGGCCTCCACTCAGTGTCCTCCACCCCTCTCTGCCAATCCCTCCACTGGCCTCCACCCCTCTCTGCCAATCCCTCCACTGGCCTCCACTCAGTGTCCTCCACCCCTCTCTGCCAATCCCTCCACTGGCCTCCATTCAGTGTCCTCCACCCCTTTCTGCAAATCCCTCCACTGGCCTCCACCCCTCTCTGCCAATCCCTCCACTGGCTTCCCATCGTCCAAATGGATAAAATTCAAAACATTAACAATAACATATAAAGCCATTTATAACTCTGCCTCAAATTACATCACCAATCTTGTCTCCAAATATCACCCAAACCGTCCTCTCCGCTCCTCGCACGACCTCCTGCTCTCTAGCTCCCTTGTCTCCTTCTCCCATGCTCGTCTCCAGGACTTCTCCAGAGCTTCCCCCATCCTCTGGAACTCTCTACCCCAATCTATCAGACTATCGCCTACTCTGCTCACTTTTAGGCGATCTCTGAAAACCTATCTCTTCAGGGAAGCCTATCCTGCCCTCAGCTAATAATGGGATCTTCTACTCCTCCTACCAGTCCATCCCCCACAGTTACTACCTTTTGTACCACTAGCCCCTCCCTCTTAGATTGTAAGCTCCCAGGATCAGGGCCCTCCTATCCCTCTTGTATTGAACTGTATTGTTGCTGTATTGTCTCTCGTCATATTGTAAAGCGCTGAGCAAACTGTTGGCGCCATAAATCCTGTATAATAATAATAATAATATTCTGTATAACAAGACAACAATACTATATATAATAGTACTATATATAAAAAGAATAATAATAATATATATATATATGATACAGTATGTAAAATGATACTATACTGAACAATACTATACAGTATATAATAATACTCTCTCTCTATATATATAACAAGAATACAATATATAATATTATATAAAATAATACTATAACAATACTATACAGTATGTAATATATTATAGAAGAATATAAAATCGAATAATATTATATTAGAATAGTGGCCTGTAGATGTCATGAGAGTCAAGTGCGGCACAGATTGGAAAAGACAGAATAATATCATTCAGCCATACCTGACATTCGGAAAGGCATGAATATCTTCTCATTCGTATCTGGGTGTATGATGGCCTGTGGCACAAAGAAACACACACGTCATCTAGATATACTGATAAATGCAGAGAAGTGATGATATCAGACATCTGTTCTGTAGAACACCCCGAGAATTTCATTAAAGCCCAATTACAGGATATGAATATGCTTACAGGCAGGGGCGGACTGACCATTTGGAAACTCGGGCACTGCCCGAGGGCCCGGGGTAAGTAGGGGGCCCCATGAGATGCCCCTGGTACCTTTTTCAAAGGCTTTTTTTGAGATTGGGCAAGGACACAGGGGCCCCATGATCCCCTATTGCCCAAGGGCCCCATGAGTTGTCAGTCCGCCCCTGCTTACAGGAGGAGTGTAGGAATGGCAATTTCATTGTGTGCCTGCTTCTCTACTGTCCAATCACAGCTTGGGGTGGGTCCTGGACCCGCCTATTCTGCTTAATTCAAGAGTAGTCTGCAGAGAGGTCGTGGACCTGGATGTAGTGTCTGGTAGAGTTGTCTGGATCACAAGACTGGCTCAACAGAATTTTTTTTTTAAAAAAGCTCACATATATCTGTTTCACCTTTGCAGAGAAATAAAATGACATCCTAAAAAGTTATTTGTAGCCTGTAACATTTGATTCTTATTGACAACCTGGCCAAAGCCATTTTCATGCCTTGGTAAGACACACATTAAGCTCGGGTTCACGCTGATGCGGTGTGGAATTTGTAGCATTTTCAGTGCGAATTCTGCATCGCATCAGAATTGCACCTCGTTCATGCGAACCGCTGAAGGTGTGTATGTTAAGCTAAAAACACCCCGAAAACGGTCCGCAAAATGCAGTGCGATGTGCAGAATCGAATCGCATAGGTGTGATTACCCATGTGATCTGATTCTAGCGCGGACCCAAAAAAGGGTCCGGCATGTTTTTGGTGCAGTGCGATTAGAGTCATAGAAAATGTACAGCTCCAATCGCACCGCGCACAAATCGCATGTGATTTGCATAGGAATGCGTTGCGGTTCCTGTACGAATCACATGAGATATACCGAACCGCATATATGTGAACCCGGGCGTAAAGTATATTAACCACATAGGTGACCAGAGGAGTTCTAGTGCTAGAATTACTGCCGATAATCTCATGTTCATGTGTGGGACAATCGCTGTTTGTGTGAGTGTGGGACCCATGCTCGTGTTCGCTTTGTGCGCAAGCATGGGTGGATGGTGGCACTATTTTTTATTTCAATTGTTTTTTTTTTTTACATTGTTGCTTTAAATATTTTTTTTTTTATCACTTTTATTGCTGTCACAAGGAATGTAAACATCCCTAGTGACAGCAATAGGACTGTGACAGGTACTCTTTATGGAGAGATCAGGGGTCAATAACACCCCAATATCCTCCTCTGCCAGCTCGATCTTACCAAGATCGGTGTGATCAAATGCTTTTCTTTTTTATAAGTGGCGCCGTTTATTTCCGAGTAAACCGTAAGTGATGTCAGGTCACCGTTTCCAGGATGCTATATCATAGAGGCGAACAAAGCCGATCCGATCTGTTTGGCTCTGTGATCAGCCGGTGGAAGCGCCGTCTGCTCGATCGGGGCTCCCGCTGGGATGGGAGATCCCATTAAAGCTGTGGAAGGCGGCCACACTTGAAAATCCATCAAGCATGGACCAGGGGCGGACTGACAACTCATGAGGCCCCCGGGCAATAGGGGATCATGGGGCCCCTGTGTCCTTGCCCAAACTCAAAAAGGCCTATGAAAATGGTACCAGGGGCATCTCATGGGGCCCCCTACTGACCCCGGGCCCTCGGGTAGTGCCTGAGTTTCCAAATGGTCAGTCTGCCCCTGGTGTGGACATATTACATGGTTTGAACGATAAAATTAGGGGAACATATTGTCAAACAATGTAACTTACCATGTAGAAAAAGCAGTATGAAAATACAAGGCTGAGGCAGCATATAAAGCATGCAACCGGTAATGTTGGCCCAGAAGAGGAAGTTTAGCATAGAGATTTTTAAGGACCGAAGATGAGAAGAGGAATACGGTCAGCACAGCATGAAGCATTTTATTATGTTTAATAGACAGTATAGAGTTCCAGAAACTAAAGTAATATTAAACCTTTCCTTTGTTTTTTTTGTTTTTTTTTAAAACAAACATGTTATACTTACCTGCTCTGTGCAATGCTTTTGCACAGAGCAGCCCTGACCCTCCTCTTCTGAGGTCCTAATCTCTCCTCTTTCTGCTTTCCATGGGGGGCACCCATGTGGGCCCGCTCCCGAGCCACCTTATCTGCATCCATTGACAGAGCGGGCGGCTCGACCGCACCCCCTGTTCCCGTGTCACAGCATTTGATTGACAGCAGAGGGAGCCAATGGATCCCGCAGCTATCAATCTGCCCAATGGGGAGGGAGACATCGCTGGATCGGATCAGGATCAGGTAAGAAAAAAGAAAGAGGGGGGGGGGAGCTGCAGCACAGAAGGTGTTTCTTTAACCTTAAGGCTTTAGAACTACTTTATGCTGGGTAAGGGATAGAAGTATTACAATTTATATATTAAAATCATGTTTAATATTTTTTGTAAATAAGATACTTAATGTTCCTTTAACAGAATGTATGACTAATTTTAAAATAAAATCATAAGAAATTATTATTTTAATATTTACTCTGAATAAGATATATTATTTCAAAGGCACAAGATACATTTATTTACTGCTTTTGCTTTTAATCTTCCTTTAATTGCCTAATTTTAGAAGCATAATTGCAATATATTTATTTATTTTTATAAAGAGTTACTGTTATATGTTATGATACATTTGTAGCCACGAAGAATGGGAGACCCTTGTAACTCCTGGATCCATGTATTATTGAATTAAACAATTCTGGACTCTATGACTCTATATGACATGACAGGAGTTCCAACCCTTCCCTGTACTATCCAAAATGGAAAGAATGTGTTTAGGCCTTAGCTGCTATATACTAAATACAATTTTTTTTCATTTAGGATAAAGAGGTGATTTGTTAAGACTTTCTGCATCACGGTGCATACAACCTCAAGTTCATCTCTTTGTTATCTCTACCAAATATAAGACCTCATCTTCATTCCTAGATCACCGCTACCAAGTGCAAGTGTATGACCTCATCTTCATTCCTATATCACAGCTACCAAGTGTATGACCTCATCTTCATTCCTATATCACCGCTACCATGTGTATGACCTCATCTTCATTCCTATATCACCGCTACCATGTGTATGACCTCATCTTCATTCCTATATCACCGCTACCAAGTGTATGACTTCATCTTCACTCCTAGATCACCGTTACCAAGTGTATGACCTCATCTTTATTCCTAGATCACCGTTACCATGTGTATGACCTCATCTTCATTCCTATATCACCGCTACCAAGTGTATGACCTCATCTTCATTCCTATATCACCGCTACCAAGTGTATGACCTCATTTTCATTCTTATATCACCGCTACCAAGTGTATGACTTCATCTTCATTCCTAGATCACCGCTACCAAGTGTACGACCTCATCTTCATTCCTATATCACCGCTACCAAGTGTATGACTTCATCTTCACTCCTAGATCACCGTTACCAAGTGTATGACCTCATCTTTATTCCTAGATCACCGTTACCATGTGTATGACCTCATCTTCATTCCTATATCACCGCTACCAAGTGTATGACCTCATCTTCATTCCTATATCACCGCTACCAAGTGTATGACCTCATTTTCATTCTTATATCACCGCTACCAAGTGTATGACTTCATCTTCATTCCTAGATCACCGCTACCAAGTGTACGACCTCATCTTCATTCCTATATCACCGCTACCAAGTGTATGACTTCATCTTCATTCCTATATCACCGCTACCAAGTATATGACCTCATCTTCATTCCTATATCACCGCTACCAAGTGTATGACCTCATCTTCATTCCTATATCACCGCTACCAAGTGTATGACTTCATCTTCATTCCTATATCACCGCTACCAAGTGTATGACCTCATCTTCATTCCTATATCACCGCTACCAAGTGTATGACCTCATCTTCATTCCTATATCACCGCTACCAAGTGTATGACCTCATCTTCAT